CTGCAGTGGTCCAAGTGCAGGACATACCATAATGGTCCGCAGCTTTGCGAAAAGGCGAATTGAAAACTGAATTAATTTTTTATATCCCTTGTAGTACTGAGCGCGTGGTGTTCTATGTTTGTTAAGTTTCCGGTGACAATTTGGCCCAACGTTAGCTTTTTAGTGGTTGAAGAAGTCGCAGTAGTCTCAAAGCCTTCAGTTGCGTCAGTGAAAGGTTCTGCTCGATTCGCCTCTAATACTGAAATGGTCGAAATATCCGTGGGAGAATCGGCGCAAAACGTCGACGTATGTGATTTTTTTACAATTTTCTAATTAGCGGTTGGTTGTTTGTATAAATAACCAACCAACAATTGGAAAATATATCTGCTAATGTATCGTTCTGATATTTGACAGTTCCAGTTCGGAAACGAAAGTTTGGAGAAATGCACCCTAGCCGTCGAGGGAATGACGTGTGCGTCATGTGTACAGTATATTGAAAGAAATATAAGTAAACTGAGAGGTAAGCATTTGTATCTTTATGGATGAAGCTTACATCAGTGAAAAAGGCTCACTGACGGGGCAGCTCGGCGACGGGGGGGGGGAGCATTTTGCACTTTTGCTACTTCCCATCGACGTGTCGACCCATCTAGACAGCCTCTTCTCGAGTTGACAGGTTTTCCCCGTGATGGCTTGACGAGCTTGTTCCAGCATCACACAAGAATGCACACGTCATCAGAGTGAGACTTGTACAACGGAATTAGTGAGGCAAGAAAGTGCAAAATGCCCCCCCCCCCTCTGTCGTCTAATTGTGTCCCTCCTAAATGATGAAAATTCCACAATTTGCGCTTTTTTATGGACCGCTCGCCTATTTTTAGGTTCTACTTCTGGTTCGTTATTTTTTGTGATGTGTTTATTCATCTGTTCTTTATTGTTATAGGTGTACAGTCTGTAGTGGTTGCGTTGATAGCTGGTAAGGCGGAGATCAACTACAACCCGTCGTTGACGAGCGTGGAAAAGCTGATCGCCGAGATGACGGCACTCGGCTACCGTGCCAGTTTGATCGACACGCCATTTTCTGCATTCAACAAAATCCACTTGACGGTGAGCTGAACCGTTTCAGAATCTATCTGCTCAAAATGAAGCGGTCATGCCTGTTCAGATTGGTGGTTTGAATAGCGAAGCGGACGTGAATCGCATCGAATCACATGTGATCTCAAAGACGGGTGTTGAAGGCTGTCACGTTTCCCTGGCCACTTCTTTAGCCACTGTCGAGTTTTCTCCATCAGTCATTGGTCCGAGAGATCTCATTTCTGTCATCGAGGTCGGTTGAATAGGGTTGCAGCTATTGCTTCAGCTTTTTCAAGAATTTGATACGTAAAAATCGGTCTCTCAAGTTGTTCTGGTGGAAAGGAGAAACATTGTTTCAAACGAAAAATTGAGCAGATTCGGGGAATCACTTTCACAACCGCTCAAAGTATGGATTAGCTTGCCTTTGGAGTAACCACAGTCACGAGGGCCGTTGAAGGTATGCTCGGTATCGGGGTAATTCAGCAGTGACGAAGGAATTTAAATCATTCCTATGGGTAACACTCTCTGAGGGTACATAAATACAAAATTTCATTTAGTTACCATCAATGTCATCAAGTGATTACTTCTTGTTCCTCAACCTGAGAAAAAGATCTTCGTGGAGAGGGTTTTCTGACCATGAAGAGCTGAAGGCTACAATTAACGCACATTTTGAGGATTAGGAGGAAAAGTATTTTTAGAGGGTATTGAAAAGTGAGTTACTCAAGCAAACAAGTGTATTGAGGTTATGGTGGGGACTAGATTGAGAAATAACATTTTTATTCAGAATTTTTCTGGCTTTTCCCTTCATACCATTACCGAGCCTACTTGACACCACTTGCCTGTTGCTGGCCTTCTGTCCTTTGACCTTCCGTCAAACTTCTTTTGATCCTAGGTTATTTCACTTGAGATGTGTTGATTGCTATTGAAATTATCCTGTAGTATAACTGGCTAGCGCTTAGCTTGATTCCTGGCTATCCTCCGTGCTCCTTTTTTACTTCTTTTGACTTCAGACCGAGGTGAGGAAGTGATTCGAAATACCATGATAAGATTTATTTCTTCATTGTCTTCTGCCAATGGCGCTGCTTGTATGCGGTCAAAAATGAGTAACTAATTGGTGTTTATGAGCTCTCGATCAACAATAAACCCCACTTCAAAACACCTCAGCAGTAATCTGATATTTCAGACTCTTGGCTACACGGCAGAGCTTGCGACTAAAGATGATCAGATGAAGCGCTTGGATCATTCCGCAGAAGTGCGAAAGTATGGTGATTTTTTTATAAATAAAAGAATATTGAGCCGTGCGCATGACATCTCGGTAGAGTGGCCCTTAACCCCCGCCGCCGGAAACCTTAAACTAACACTCACCTATGTACGTTAATCCCAGCTCTTCTCATGTGTGAGGTGAATGGGTTCGCAGCTGCAGTAGCGTGCCTTTTTCTCCCGTTAAAAGTGCACATTAATGGGGCTGATATCCTGGTGCCGCATCCACACTCCGACCCGATATAGCAAAGCCGCTTGCACGCCTCACCATAGTCAAACGCGATACGTGTTTGCGCTCTCTCTTTTTTAGTTGTTCTCCACCGCTGAGTGCGTGTTTCGCTGCGGGTTCTCGGTACAGGCGCAAGCGCTGCACATTGAGAGTAGCACGGGCAGAGTATGGAGGTAGATTGCAGTGCAGCGTGAGCGCACTTTCCCCACCAATGCTGCAATCCTGAGCCCGATAGGGAGAGTTGATGGGAAAATCCTATCTGGCTGCGCTCTAAGCCAGCATCCGTCAAATGCCATCGTTTGCAGGGATCATGGCTGTAGATTGGACACATCCACCCCTTCCCGTGCCCTACTCTACTAGTCATGCTCACAACCTCCGATAGTATTTGACCCCTTATATTGCCTCTTTTAGATGGCGTACCACATTCCTTGTCAGCTTGATATTCGGAGTGCCGGTGATGCTGATAATGATTGTGTTTCACTGGATTTTGCACACTCCAATGCATCCAGAGAATCAGACTCCAATACTTTCACCAGCACTTTCCCTCGACAACCTTCTCCTGCTGCTGTTGTGCACACCTGTACAAGTAAGTCCGTTGCAGTTTTAGCGGGCGCAGTTCGGCGACGGGGGGCATTTTGCACTTTCGCTGCTTCACTAGTTCCGGTTTACAAGTCTCACTCTGGTGAAACCTGTGAACTCTTGTGAAGCTGGAGCAAGCTCGTCAAGCCATCATGGTAAAACCTGTCAACTCAAGAAAAGGCTGTCTAGATGGGTCGACACGTCGATGGGAAGTAGCAAAAGTGCAAAATGCCCCCCCCCCGTCGGCAAACTGCTCCAGGTTTCATGAGATATGCCCGAGCCCGTGGTAATCGGGCTACCATTTGCTGAGAGTCCTTTTCCTTCATGTCTTGCAGGTAATTGGAGGAAGATACTTCTATGTAGCATCTTGGAAAGCGCTACGGCATGGCCAGGCGAATATGGATGTGTTAATAGTGTTGGCTACGACGATCGCCTTCACATACTCGATACTTGTTCTTATTATTGCATTAGTACTGAGGTAAAGTGCAGGCATAGTCGTCAAGTTCTGCTCCTCCACTGCCTACATATGTATCTTCAAGGTGGCCATCAAGCCCGATGACGTTCTTTGACGTTCCTCCTATGCTCATTGTATTCATATCATTAGGTCGTATGTTGGAGCACAAAGCAAAGGTAAGCGCTTCAGAAAAGCTGTTTATTCTGCTGCGAAATTATGACATTCTAGGGCAAAACATCGGAAGCGTTGAGTCGTTTGATGTCACTTCAAGCTAAGGAAGCCACACTAATAACCATGGACGCCGAAGGCCGTGTCACATCCGAAAGGGGAATCAACATAGAACTGGTACGAAGAGCTTATTCAGACAGTACTCCGTTGAGAACACCTCATATCCGCCCCATGGTTTAGGTTCAACGTAACGACTTGATCAAAGTGATACCAGGTGCAAAAGTGCCAGTCGACGGAATAGTGGTGGATGGTCAGAGTTCAGCGGATGAATCATTTATAACAGGAGAATCTATGCCGGTTGTAAAGAAGCCAGGTAAGAAAATAAACGAAAAGAAAGAAAGGCGAACAAGGCATTGTGGATAAAAGAAGCCATAGGCGCTCCCGCAAGTCGCTCCCAGGCATACAAAATAAAACTAGGCGCAACTCCGCGAGGAGGGGGGGGGCATTTTGTATATCGTTGCTTTCTTGCTGCCTGCTTTCCTCGTCGAGCCATTGAACCTGTCAACATCGAGAAGAAGGCTGTCCAGATAGGTCGACACGTCTATTGAACAGTAGCAAAAGGGCAAACGTGGCTCCAGCCCCCCCCTTCGGCCGAACTGCGCAGTATACGAAGCTCCGCTCTATGAAGGTGTCGTCAAAATCGATTTTCATAAGCCATCAACCACAGCTTCCTTGCTTGCATTCTGTCTCCGCTGCTGTGGTCAGCGTTTTAACCGAAACTTTTTCTGATACCATTATTCAAAGCGAGCTCAGCTAGGTCTTTTTTCGTCAGCTGCAACGTCCAAAGATTGCGATTGACAAGAAGCCTTAAGATGATCACGGGTTGCATAGTTGCTGATGGTCTATTCGCAACCAGTGCTTTGAACCCAGATCTTTGGTCGTTCTGAAAAAGTGTACTCAACAACTCTCGCACAAAAACGCGAAGAAGAACTAAAGGCAGTTGGCACGATAAATCCCCCAAGACGAGTAGGATTAATACGCCTGGCAGGACGGAATTCCGCGACCCTGAGCAGGCGCTGCATAGCGGCTTCTCCAAGGAAGGTGCCCTTATAAGGGCCCTATCAAGCCACAACATTACGACCCAAACGCCCGCCACGCCCGCCCGCCCACAAATGGACGACCGTTCCTGACGCTCGTATTCATTCATTTGCTAAGCAAATTATGAAGCGAAGGGATTGGTATGAAGCGGCCGTGATGCTGCATGGATATATGAGTACACATATGCAGCCGTACCTTCGGTAGCGGTTATTGGCAAGATGCCTACGGGAAACTCGTCCAAAATTGATTTACACTGAGAACGGAGGCTCTTTTTCGCAGGATTTTGACCGTTTCACTCCGTTCTTTCGCCATTTTCCCCACTATATAGCGCCCTACTAGCATTTTAGGCCGAGCACCAAATCATCGTGCCAACTGCCTTTAAAGTCAAAAGGCGTAGAGGGTTGATACGCCTAGCACGAAAGAATATTGTGCCCCTAGCAGGCGCTGCGTGGCGCCTTTTCCAACCAAGGGCACCGTTATAGCGCTAATCAAGGTGCAACATGCCGACCCAGACGTCCACGCCCACCGCGGCGGCCCGCCCACGAATGGCCGTACGGTCATATCGACGCTGGTGCTCGTACCGCTTCATTTACGAGGTACAGTTGATATTAGGCGTTGCTGTATCAAAGCGGTTGTTGGTACGATGCCAACGGGAAACTCGTCCAAAAATGCTCGCCCATTGCCGTGCAGAACAAGGCTTTTTCACGGGTGTTTGGCCTTTAGCTTCGCTTTTTCGTCAGTTTCCCCACTATATAGCACCGCTGCTATTATTTCTGAGCGAGTACCAAATTATCATGCCTTAGTTTGATAGACTTGAAAGTTAGAGTGCCAGCTGACTGACATGTGAAGGTAGCAAGGATGCAGCGCTGGTTCGAACCTACCAGCCATCCGAATGTAAGACGCAGTTTTAATAGAATGGCCACACTTTTGCTTCTGATTTCTTCCCAACTTCCGAGAATCTTTTCCATTGAGCTGCAGTAAACGAAAGCCTTTAGGAAGTGTTGTGATTGGTGGTTCGGTCAATCAAAAAGGTGTGCTCATCATACAGGCAACGCTGGTTGGACAGGACTCGACTTTGGCCCAAATTGTGCGACTTGTTGAAGAAGCGCAAACTAATAAGGTATTCTTGTCGAACGTTTATGCGCTCCTTGAGGTTTTTGAACCTCAGTGAGCGAATAATTTTTTCAGCTAATTTTATTGTTGTCGCATGAGTTACTGAATGAGCACTAAATGATTCTGTTAAGGCTCCAATCCAGCAAATGGCTGATCGTATTGCTGGCTATTTTGTACCATGTGTGATCTTCTTAGCACTACTTACACTATTCGCTTGGATCGTTATTGGATATATGTCACAAAAAATATGAAATGATGGTCAGTCGGCCTTTTTTGTCAACGTCCGCGTTGTTGATGCTAATTCGTTAGTAGGGTCGTGTAAGTGCAGAAGTCTATAGCTTTTGCGTCACCCAAGATTGGGTTTAAATAAGCAGCGGATTTGGGTGTTATATCCGGATTCGTTACAGACCTTTATTGAAGGCACGGTCCTCGATCAGGTATAGCAATTGGAAATATGGCGTCGGGATGGCGTGGTGGTTCTATCGACGCGACACCATTGTACGGTTTCAAGGCTAAAAAATTGTAAGGGAGAGCGCTATACGCGTAAATACATCTTCAGTGCGCGCATTTTCTCACAGTGACTCGCCGGCATAGACTCCCCCCGCCGCACTTTCAGAACCCTGACGCTGCACGGAACGAAAAAGCATGAAATGTCCTTGCACGGTCACATTTGGTACGATTGTTAATCGGGAAAATCGCTGTGGCGATGGGTCGCTAAGGTGAGATGGATTAATTAGGCATGTAGCAATTTAGACGGCGTGGGGTGCTCCTAGGGCCGCTGCATATGTTTTTTCTGCACATTTCTTCACGATCGAGTCACTCAGAACCTTCTCGTCTATATGCCAGCCTCATTCACTACCTGTGATGGCGAATGATCGCGGGCTTTGCCTTCAAGAACCATTCGTCTGAAAGGGACACCACTTGTGAAGCGCAGCCGGGAGCGCAGGTGGCAAATGCGCTTACCGTATCGCTCTTTTGTTTTGATGTTGTTGTGGTCTTACTCACCCATGTTGTCTCCATGCTCTAGCGATACTTCGCTGCTTTTCAGACACCGACAGGTCGTTTTGAAAGCATCATGAAGGTGGCATTCGAAGCGGCAATCACAGTACTGGCGATCGCCTGTCCCTGCAGTCTTGGACTGGCAACCCCCACAGCTGTGATGGTTGGCACTGGAGTCGGTGCGATCAATGGAATTCTCATCAAAGGCGGCGAACCCCTTGAGACCGTTCATAAGGTTTGTGACATGATCATGTTGTTCTTTCACTTCACTTTCCTTCTTTATTCCTATTATTTTTTATTACTTTTCTTCTTTATTCCAATTATTCTTTTTACTTTCTTGTGGTTAGCTGATGCCATTGTTGCTACAATAATGGAAAAAGGCCTGCCACGGTCCGAACATATTTTCCACCCCTCCTGACGCCTGTTCGTAATATTCCTCATGACGTCTGACAAGATTGTAGCGCTTGTGGTTCTGAGCACAATAATCCAAAAGGCAGAGATGTTGTAACGACAAATTAGGCCGCTTCCCATCCACACCGTCCAGGTGTCAAGTCCCGGATCGGTTGCCTGGTCGAGAGCCTATCAGGGATTTCACACTTGGACCGTGTGGGTGGTGAGCCGAGCCTTTGAAGGTAAATCCGGCAGGTAAACCGATTCCTCATTCCTGGTCTGCGGACGATGTTACTCTCTCTCTCCTTTTTTTGCAGAAGAAGCCCCTTGAACGCCCCCCCCCCTTCCAAGTTTATTAGCGTCAAACTTTCTTCTTGTAGGGTCTGTGACAATGCTTCGTTTCTCTTTCAGGTGACCACAGTGATTTTCGACAAGACCGGTACTATAACAGAAGGTCGACCACGGGTGGTTTCCATATTGACCCTACGATCACCACTGGACATTCCGCTGAAAATGCTGGTTCTCATATGTGGATCTGCAGAATCTCAATCAGAGCATCCCATAGGAGCAGCAATTACTAATTTCGCAAAACAGGTACGTTACTTGTTGTAAACAGTTTATGTTGAATGTGACATTGTTCCCATGCCTGTTTAGTGGCTGAAAGATCCGACGTGGGCCGCTGTGTCGCGGTTTCATGTGTCAGCCGGACATGGAGTGGCATGCCAAATCTCGGGTGTTCGGAAGTCACTCGATTCTATCAGTCAAGTAAACGGACCTGTACTATCCGATGGTGAGGAAATGGTGATTTCCGACTCCAGTGTCATTCACAAGCAGGTAGCAGTTTTCTGCCAAATATGAATTTCTAACAAAATTTGCGTTTTGTTCCAGGTTTCATGTATGCCAACTTTGAAGACTAAGAAAGATAAAGATATCTACGAAGTGGTGATCGGAAGTGAACGAATGATGGAAAAGTATGGAATCGTAATCGATGATATCACTGTTGCAGCACTGTCTGTTGAACAGCAAAAAGGCCATATTTCCGTACTTTGCGCCATAAATGGTTTGTTTTTGGGTTTTATAGTCTCGTAATATTTAGAAATGCCGGCATAAGTTCATATGAGTTAGCAAAACAACGTAGGGGCCTAGTTGTTTTGTACTCATAGAGTTGGATCTGTCGGGTAGAATACCTCTTTTTATAATCATTTTGAACGCCTACGATAACTCTTAATACCATGTTATCTAGAAGTTGTTTGCGGTCTATCGTGAGGATCGCGCGATCGGATTGCGAAGTTTGAACGAGTTCTAGGCGGCTCAATTTGTTCGGGGAACGTTTAGTAACGGGCGAGAATTCTGCTTCCAGACTGAAGTCGACCCCCCGCCATCCTTAAACTCTTCGGCAAGAATACCCCGAATGCGTGAATTGCGGCCATGAAAGGGCAAAGCCCTACGAATCATTCGGCGCATCCAGGTATGGATTAAGGGTTTGCACATATATAGACGATAAAGGTGGCTTAGCTAACCGAATGCGCTTAGCGGCCGGCAGGATAGAAGTCGGGTCCCGCAGTTTTCGAGTCCTCGAGGTGTTGTGCCCAGGGGTGGAGGTTCATGGGCTGCCAAGCGATCGACGGCCTCGACGCCGCAGCAGCTGATTCTCCGATAGGGAGTCGGGTGAGGCACCGATCGTACTCGTGACGATCTCATGGTTTTTTGTCTGCAGTTTCGTTTTGCACTGGAGAGCGTGCCTTGGAGGCGGAGTTACGGGAAAAAGGAGGCGTCACTGAACCTATATTGCGCTATTGCGCCCCTCCTTTACAATCTTTTCTGCTGCGAAACAGGTACAATTGTTTGTCAGCTCACCACACTACCGGCTCGCCTAAGACCAATTTTCAAATTTTTATGGAGGCCTGATCGCAGGCTGGTTGGTCTTTTGAACGGCAGTTTGTCATAAATGATGTACACGTCCGTTGCGGCCATTCGTACAACTTCGGTAGGAGCGAGGTAGCACCGGTGCGCTTGGAGAGAAAGTTTTCGCGGCCTAATCGTGTGAATCGCGCGCATCGGATCGCAAAGTATGAACGCGTTCCAAGCCGCCAACTCAGTTTTGGAAATGCTCAGAAATGGGAGATATTAGGATTGAGCAGCTGATGAGCCCTGAATGGAAGTTCCGTTGCACCGGCGAAGAGGCGCGACTGGGCGATTATCTTCACATGAGCGACAAAAGATCAGAACGAGGCTCCTTTTAGCTGTGTGGGCACTGATCGAAGAATGGGAAAGTGCGGGTGGTTGCTTTTTGACGTGGTGATAATGCGAATAACCGCCTGGTTCTAAGCTACCCTACTGCTCCAACGCAAGTAAGATTCCATCATCTTGCTAAACTGATTGTGAAGTTCTCCTCGACCCTCACCACACAATGGAGATTTTTGCCTTCGGAATGATCTTTCGATAGCTTTACTACAAATTCGAGAAATTGCCCCCACCCGCAAAATCAACACACAACACCCCGCCAGCACAAACACCAAGCCGTTTCAGGACCGTGCGAGAATCTGCGGACGTGTATCTCTGAGATGCTAACCCAAATCGAAAGCCAGAAGCAAAGATACACGCACATTGCCAAGTATGTTTTGCATAACTCCCTATTCTCAATAAGTCATTATGCCGAGAAGGCCGGAGAAGACGTGCAGTGTGGCACAGCCAGGGCGGCTCTTTCCACCAATGGTGTCTTCCCGAGAGCAGCAGTGGTGGGAAAAGCTACTTTGACTGCACACCAATCCACGCGCCTTCTCAGGTCTCAGGTCGCGGCATCGCGGGCAGACAAGCAGAGTATTCCCTAGCTAGATGAATTGACACAAGGCAGCACTGCCAAATTAACTCAGATGGGTTTTGATGGAAACGACCTAGCTTGCAGGGCTTCCTTCGTCACGCTTGCCTTGGGACTTCGCCCCTTTCAGTATTAGAACGGTGAAAGTAAGCCTGACGATGAGAAACGCTGGTCTTTCGGCAAGCCCCCCCCCCCGCTGCGCCGGCGCCTCTAATACAAGCCCTTCAGCCTAGAAGTCCAATTTTGTCTACCTATTCAGCTACCTTCACATTCACTTGCCAGTAAATTTCTTTGAAGTCCCGAAGAAACTCGTCGATGTGGCACACAATACTTCAAAAAACGTAAAAAAGTATTTGTCGTTCAAAGACATTCTCACAGTCTTCCACGTAAAGGAGAGCAAGCCAAGTTCGACTATTTTCCGGACGACTCATAAATAATCCTCTTCGTTGGTTACCGCAAGAATGCTGAATTATGCGCGAAAGCCTTGCCCCTCCTCTTTGGAAATTTCCCAGCCGTGCTCTGGATGGGGCCTGATTTTCAACCCAGGGTGTAATGTGTAAGTATTATCTTGTATGGTATACCAAACGCCATGTGTTTTTTCTTTCCACAACTGGTTTTTGTTTCGTATATTTATTGAACTTCAATGTTTGTATCCTACAAAGTACTTTCCTATTAAGAACGCTGGAGAGCGGGTGGCGATGGTTGGTGACGGTGTTAACGATTCACCAGCACTGGCTTCTGCTGATGTCGGTATTGCGATCGCTGCCGGTAGCGACGTAGCTATTGAAAGCGCCGGTATAGTTCTGGTCCGAGTGAGTGTTTGATGTGTTTTTATTCCCATTTGTGGTCACCACCCATGATCTTTAGGAGTTTTTTTTTTCTAGAATGATCTCATTGATGTAGTTGCCGCCATAGAGCTGTCAAAGAAGACGACCAGAAGAATCAGGCTCAATTTTCTTTTTGCAATTTTCTACAACGCTATTGGAATCCCAATTGCTGCAGGTAATGCCTCTGTTGTTATCTTTTCATTGAAGCAAGTTTAATTTCGAACTTCGCTGTGACATCACTTACACCACTGCGCCAATTACATTTCCCACAACACACCCCCGCTTTGGTCCCTTGTATTCCTCGAAGTGTGGGAACTTCAAGCGAAGGAGGAAGGCGAAACCAAACCAACGACTCTTCTTTCCCTTCCTGCCCTCGCCTTACCCCTGCTCCTTCTTCCTCTCCATTCACGTCACTTCCGATAATCCTCAGAATCAAATCCTCAGTCGGTTTTGACATGCCACATCGTGACCTTACCAGTTACAGAACGAGGACTTCTTCAGGTTTATGTAATAAAAGAAGATCCGTTTTCCGAAACGTGCAGAAACGGCAGAAAAGTGGTCCCAGCGCCGGTTATTTGGAATGCTGCAAGCAGCTTCCACATTACATCCAATTAGTTCTGGTGGCGAAGCCGCTCACGTGACCCGGGGTGCGAATGCGCCTGCCACGTGATCCCACCAGGCCAATCAATACCTTTTTGTGTCCGGGACAGTAAAGCAGTTCATTATGTAGGCCACTTCACTTTAAATGAGCTATTGGGATTGCGAGTGATAGTGACAGTGCGAGCCACCATTCCAAAAAGAGGGTAATATCAAACGTGAAGGACTCTCCACTTTCTCCATTTACTTCTGCGTTTATTTATATGAAGAAGTATATTTTACATGGCGAGTATCACTGTCCCCGCCCATCGCTCTGGGTCCCTTTTGGTCTCTTGCCACAAGGTTTTAGGTGGCGGGGAAGTGGCAGAGGCGGCGCCCTCGCGCTCTCAATGCATGTGAAGATCCCAGCCTTTTCGGTTATCCCGAGAAAGTGTCCTTAACAGATACTGTACACATAGCTTCTGTGGATACTTTCCCTTGCTATATGTGAGGGTAGCCAAACGCGCCACTTTTCTGCACCCACTCAGTCCTGGTTATTCTGTACGGTTGGTATGTGTTTCCTTGTGGGATCCTGATATCTGCGCAAAAGCTTCATTTCGATGTAGCGCGGGCGGAGTATAGAGCTGGCACCGACTACTACCACTGCCCTCCAGTTCCGTTCCCATGCATCTTCAAGCGAAGAAAAAGGCACGCTCTTGCAGCTCATTCACCTAGCACATTAAAATTTCCCACTTCCCTGGAGGTAAGTGTACAGTTTGTCTTCAGCTATGCTGACTATGTTCCAAATTACTTTCCGATCGTCCTTGCATCTTCTGTAAATGTGCAGTTTTTGAGGAGTCTTCCGCCCTTTCGGATTCATGCTGCAACCGTGGATGGCTGCAGCCGCTATGGCTTTGAGTAGTGTATCTGTTGTAACCTCGTCGCTCCTACTAAAAGCATACAAGTAATGTTTGTCGTTTCTCTGTCTCGAATACGACTCTATTAATAGCTGTACTTGTTCTAGGAAACCAACTTATGGCTCTTTATATAACAGTGAGTTTAAACAGCATGCAAAGGCATTGGAAGCGGGTCAATTCAATGTAAGAATACATCTGAGCTTTGCTACAGCTGAGAATGTGTCAGTAATGGTTTCCTGTTGTAGGTGCGAGTACATCGTGGTCTCGAGGACACTGGAGTATTTCGATCCGGCTCACGCCTTTCAGTCCTCTCGAGTAAAATGGGTTCACTCTTGGGGTCAACGACGAGTATCATAAGCGGTGCCGGGAGCAAACGAACAAGGTAAGCTTGGGAGCTTTGGTCTGTATACTCACCTGAGGATCCGGGTCCTTGCCATGTGCGAGGTAGATAGTTCCGCAGTAGCGCGCCGCTTTCTCCGGCTAAAAGTTCACGGGAACGGGGTTGGAGGGTAGTGATATCGGGCTGCCGTCTCCATACTCCGGCCAGCCACGTTCCTAACCGGTCGCACGGTCAGCTACGCATGTCCAAACGCGCCACTTGTCTGCGCCCTCTCACTTCTGATTATTTCCCATCATTAACTGCACGCGCCCCAAAGGACCTCAGCCAACGCTGGCTCGACACGCTGCACGCGGATTTGAAGATAGTCGGCTCACACCCAGATCAGGCATTCAATCGGGAGAAATGATCTCAAAAAACCGAAAAGGGGACCCCGCCACAGAGTGGGACAAACGCTGAAGAATAAGAGAAAAAAGAACACTGCACACTGAGGATAGCGCGGGTGGAGCCGGAACACGGTATCCAGGAATCGATGAATTCGGGCCCGTTTCCCATGCGCTTTTGAGCGGAGGAAGTGGTTTGTTAGTGCAGCTACGGGCCTAATCAATTCGCACACGAAAAGGACTGTCTTTGGAGGTGACTGTGCAGATTGTCGTTAACCATTCAAGAACCACTACATCAGCTCTACGTTTTGTTTATTGCAATCTCATTTCAGACTGCTTGATAACGGAGGAAGTTCAGATTCGGAAGATCTCCCTGTTTAACATATCGTTTGAAAGTATTGTTTTACCAGTATTAGAATTCTATTTCTTTCTACTTACTTATTACTTTACTTACTTCCTTGTGAGCTGCCTTCCATCCTTGCTCACCTCGTGGCGCCATCAGGTCGACACATTTTCTAATATTTTTCGGCAGCCACCAAGAATGAGAGCGCAGCGTTCGGCGCTAGTCACTGGTTTGCGACGGGGGGGGGGGCATTTTGTACATCACTGTCCCTTAGTTGCCGGTTTTACAATCTCACTTTGGCTAGCACTTTGTGAACACTTCGTGAGCTGCGAGCAAGATCGTCTAGCCACCATCCCAGAACGTGTCAACTCGAGAAAAGGCTTCTAGATGGGTCGACTCATCTATGAAATGCAAAATGCCCCCCGTCGACAAACTGCCGCCCGGCAGCTATTCTCTCAATTCCTTGCGAAATGCGCAATTGTATTCGCTTTCGTGGTCATTTACAGGGAGGTAATTTTTTCCCGCCACTAATGACGTTGTTAGCTGACAAAAAGAATTACGAGAACTGTTCGTGAATCCGAGATCAACGAGTAAACTGAGAGAATCTCTCAGCATGTCTGAGGGATTTACCTTCGTCAGTAATGGTGAGTAACCTTTCAGAAGGAACCCAGACGAAGTGAAAAAATAAAAAAAAATGCCAGTGAGCAGCAGGGCGCATGTATCGAGGGAGCGTAAGGGCGGGCGGGAGCATTTGGCAAGTTTACCTCTCATTGTCACCTCGGTTCACAAGTGGAAGGCGGTTTTTGAAGACTCTTTGTGTAGCCATGAAGTAATACCGTCAAAGTTTGTAAGAAAGTGCAACCCCCCACCCCCGCGGCTGACAAACGGTCGGGTGCCTTCTATAGCCAGATTGCCGATAAACACAGCTGATTTAATCCAGATCCATTGCGGGTTGAGGCGACCATTTGTAGGTGTGCCAATCCTGATAGAAGTTGTCTGGCGACTGTAATGCTTTGTTAACTATGAGACGCTGTGAGGGCGTCCTCTGTTTTCAGAAGACGTCAGGCACCACTGGCTATACGCGGATTTCAAGGTATCCTCGCCACTAGGCCCTCATTATACTTCATTGTCCAGTCTTTCCTTGGTCAACCTGCCCAAAGTTGCGCTCCGATCTCGACAAAAAGTTGGACAACATTTGTGAGCGGTCACATCACCATGTGAACTAGACATTGAGGGTCGGGGCAACGATAACTGACCTTATTTGCAATGTCCAAAGGTCCATGTCGTATGAACGCGTGAATTGTGCGACAATGTGAGAAGTACGAAGGTGTGTGGCGAATCCTTCTAGAATACTGCTGTTCTTGATCACATCTTGTAACCAGTTGTTGTACTTGAAATCTCTGTTAACTAATGTCTTTGTCACTTTCCTATGTTGTTAATAATCCTTCTGTGATACACTACATATGTCAAAGAATCGCTTTCCTCTTCAGTGAACAGAAGAATAAAAAGTTCAAATTTCGGTCCTTTTTGATGCAACATGCCTCATCATTTCGTGGAAAGCTGAACGAAGCGGTGCCTCGAAAGGCTCTATTCATTGCGGGGTGTGTCACCTATTAAGGATGCCGTGTTCGTCTGAATCGGAGTTTTGTTTGACAGAACGCTGTTGTTTTTTATAATAAGTTCACCAAAATAGAAAAAAAAAAAGCCCGTTTTTTCTTTTGTAGTTATGTGCATTCTTATGTGCTTCAACCAGGTCATGGTCCCTATGCCGATGGCGAAATGCTCGAGTGCGTAAATAGCTGCTCGACCCACTTTGGCCGCTTGTCAACGGGTCAACTCATTTAATGATTGCTGGAGCGGCGTGGATACTGTGTTGACACTCTCGATATTGCATGTTGCGAGCCTGAATTCCACTTACAATGCATTCATTTTACCACGGGACTTCGCTTTCCGAAACCTCACTGGCCCGCATACGGTTGACGACGGTGTTTCGGAGGCTTGCTTTGGTCCCCCCTTTGTTAAGCAGAGCTTGTTCATTGCAGCCTCCTCAAAGGAAAACGGGGAAGTTTCTCTGTATGGTGCGCTCCAGTGAGAAAAAGGCGAGTAAAGTGTTGCATTTTTTTACCGGTAGCGAATGACGTGTCACCGTGATGTCACGTAGTGCGGTAATGCAGGAGGAAACTGTGTTGCGTCAATTCCGTCTTAAAGACACATGGTACGACCACACATAGTTCGGGTGTGTGTGACTATCAGCCCCCAGCTGTCGAAGCGTAGCGGTTTCCCCGTCCTAACATGCGCAGGAATGGAGATACAGGACCGTGAAACACGCTAATTCCTCCATGCTCCGCCTTACACCTTTTGCGGCGCAGACTCATGCTAACATCCGTCGTGTGCGCGCGTGTCGCGTGCGGCTCTCCACTTTGCCAAGTCCTGTAATTGCGCTTTGGAATACAAGTAAAACGCAATTTCCTGATAACATTTAGGTGCTGCAAAATAAGAACCGAAGATGATGACGAGGGCCAGAACTCAAGAGCAACTGTGCTGCTTCTGCAACATCCCTCAGAGGCCGCGCATTCCCACAAAACATGAAAATAAAAACGGCCCACTCGTTAGTTTAATACAAGCAAAACGCAATTTCCTGATGCGAATAACATTTGAGGTGTTGCTCATGCTTCAAAGTCCGAATAGAAGGTGATGAAGATGACAAAGGCTAGAAATGAAGAACAACGAATGTAGATGTAAATAAAACAAAAATGAAAAATCAAGGAAATGCAATTAATTAAAATCGCGTGTAAATTTCTGCGATCCGGCGCGAATCCGGCTCCAAAGCCATAGAAATACTTTAAACTAACGAGTGGGACGCTTGGGCCGTTTTTATTTTCATGTTTCGCGGCCTCCGAGGGATGTTGCAGAAGCAGCACAGTTGCTCTTGAGTTCTGGCCCTCGTCATCATCTTCGGTTCTTATTTTGCAGCACCTAAAATGTTATCCGCATCAGGAAATTGCGTTTTACTTGTATTCCAAAGCGCAATTACAGGACTTGGCAAAGTGCCAAGAGAGCCGCACGCGACACGCGCGCTTACGACGGATGTTAGCATGAACGGGAATCTGCGCCGCAAAAAGGTGTAAGGCGGAGCATGGAGGAATTAGCGTGTTTCACGGTCCTGTATCTCCATTCCTGCGCATGTTAGGACGGGGAAACCGCTACGCTTCGACAGCTGGGCTGATAGTCACACACACCCGAACTATGTGTGGTCGTACCATGTGTCTTTAAGGCAAGTCCGCACCGTATTATGCCACCTGTTGTCAGCTGACATACTGCACCGTGTGCGTGTGCCAGATCAGCATCCAGAAGGCCTTCCGAAGATGAAAAAACTCCGCAGTTACTTCCATTAAAGAAAGACTAAGCGCTCAACCAATCCCCAGAACTCCTTCCTTGTGGCAGTATATATACTAGTTCGCTGCAGATGAAAGGGCGTATGAGTGTGCTACGGCGCCAAACTCGTTCTCTGCCTGTTGGTTAAGCGGGTATGCGACGACAATCGTTAGAAAACGAGTGGTACTAACGATATGATACAGTCTTGTCACTTGCTCGCTTCAACAACTGGTGAAGAACGGGTTTGGCACTGCGCCAAACTCATCCCGCCTGACACGCCCCCTCGTCCGCAGCGAACTAAAGTTTAGACCGGTCCGCGATTCCTGAAAATACCCCTCTTTCACGGCTTAAAACGGAAGCGCTGTGGCTGCCATAGGATGAAAGTAGGTGATATGTAGTCATTCAAGGTGCCGCCGGGGCGCGATATGTTAGCGGTCTTGTCTGTAAGTACGGGTGCCATTCGTTCTATCTGTGACCAATCTGTAGTTTTCGTCGTCTTCCAGCTCGCCCTTCTATACGGAATGTAAGGCGTTCAGCTTCCCTTGAACTGGCCCTTTTGGAAGGCACACATTTGTTTGCTGCAGTTGTTGGGGCGTATCAGTGAGAGGGGTTGGGCGGCTCGTTCTACACCAACTGCTGTCGCCTGCCCGTTTGAACAAGTGGTGGAGGACGGGCTGGCGCTGGGCCAAACCCCTCGCTCCTCCTGACAGGTCCGGCTTTCCGCCGTGAACTAGACAGTATGTATTGGAAAGCAATCCTTTTCACAGAAAAGGATGCGTTCTTGCGGTGCTTCATTTCACCGATCATGCAGTTTCCTAGAAGCAACAGTTCACTGGACGGCAGTAGTCCTAGTTTCCTACGCAGAGCTTTCAAAGCTACTTTAATAACAAACTTTATTGACGCGGTACCTTTTCGCTCTTTTCACTTTTGCTGCACGATTGGAAGGTG